TGTGTTTCTAGAAATTTGTCCATTTCTCCTAGATTGTCCAACTTTTTGGCGTATAATTGTTCATAGTATGTTTTGATGATCCTTTGTATTTCTGTGGTGTCAGTTGTTATTTCTCCCCTTTCATTTCTGATTTTGTTTATTTGGTTTCTCTCTTTTTGTTTCATGGTAAGTCTGGCTAAAAGTCCATTGATCTTATTTATCTTTTCAAAGAACCAGCTTTTTGTTTCATTGATCTTTTGAATTGTGTTTTTGGTCTCTATGTTGTTTATTTCTGCTCTTACCTTTACTGTTTCCTTCCCCCTATTACCTCTGGATTTTTTTTGTTTGTTCGTTTGTTTACTTTCTAGTTCTTTAATTTGTAGAGTTAGAAAGTCAATTAGAAATTTTTCTTATTTCTTGAGGTAGGCCTGAAGTGCTATGAACTTCCTTCTCAGGACTGCTTTCACTGTGTCCCATAGATTTTGTGTTGTTGTGTGTTCATTTTCATTGGTTTCCAGGAAGTTTTTAATTTCTTCCTTGATCTCGTTAGTAATCCATTTGTTGTTTCATAACATGCTATTTAGCCTCCAACTGTTTAAATTTTTTGTGTGTTTTTATTTTAATTGAGTTCTAGTTTCATGCCATGGTGATCTGTGAAGATGCTTGATATGATTTCAGTCTTCTTGTATGTGTAGAGACTTGCTTTGTGTCGTAACATGTGGTCTATCATTGAGAATGTCCCATGTGCACTTGAGAAGAATGTATATTCTGCAGCTTTGGGGTGAAATGTTCTGTAAATGTCAATGAAGTCCAACTGATCTAGTTTGTCTTCTAAGGACTCTAAATCCTTGTTAATTTTTTGTCTAGAAGATGTATCCAGTGGTGTCAGTGACGTGTTAAAGTCACCCACTATGATTGTATTGCTATTGATCTCTCCCTTGAAATCCTCTAGAAGTTTTTTAATATATTTTGGTGCTCACTTATTTGGTGCATATATGTTTACCAGGGTTAAATCCTGTTATTGGATTGATCCTTTTAATATGTAGTGACCTTCTCTGTCTCTTATCATGGCCCTCATTTTTAAGACTAGCTTGTCAGATATGAGTATTGCTACACCAGTTTTTATTTTTTCATTTCCATTTGTTTGGAAAAAAATTTTTCCACCCCTTAACTTTCATCCTCTGTGAGTCTTTTGTTGTAAGGTGGGTCTCTTGTAGACAACATATATATGGGTCATGTTTTCTTATCCAATCAGCTACCCTCTGTCTTTCGATTGGAGCATTTAAGCCATTTACATTTAAGGTAATTATGGATAGATTGTTATTAGTTGCCATTTTAATTTTATGCCTCTCTCTCTCTCTCTCTCTCTCTCTCTCTCTCTCTCTCTCTCTCTCTCTCGTTTCTTCTTCTTATAGTAGTCCCTTCAGTATTTCTTGCAGTGCTGATTTGGTGGTGATAAATCCCTTTAGCTTTTTTTTTTTTTTAATCCGTGAAGCTCTTTATTTCTCCTTCAATTTTGAATGATAGTCTTGCTGGATAGAGTAGTCTTGGATTCAGACCCTTGCCTCGCATTACTTTGTATACTTCATGCCACTCCCTTCTGGCCTGCATCGTTTCTATTGAGAAATCAGCTGTAGTCTAATGGAAGCTCCCTTGTGGGTAACTTTCTGTCCCTCTCTTGCTTCCTTTAAGATTCCTTCTTTGTCTTTAATGTTCACCATTTTTATTATGATGTGTCTAGCTGTGGGTCTTGTGGGATTCATCTTGCTTGGAACTCTCTGTGTTTCCTGGACTTGTGTGACTCTTTCCTTTACCCGTTTAGGGAAGTTTTCTGTCATTATTTCTTCAAATAGATTCTCTATTTCTTTCTCTGATTCTTCTCCCTCCAGTACCCCTATAATGCAAATGTTGTTTCATTTTGTATTGTCCCACAGCTCCCTTAAACTCTCCTGCTTTTTAAACTCTTTGTTTTCCATTTACTGCTCTATTGGAGTGTTTTTTCCTACCTTGTTTTCTAAGTCGCTGATTCGGTCTTCAGCTTCTTCTAATCTACTATTGAACCCTTCTAAGGTATTTTTCATAACAGCTATGTCATTCTTTGTTTCCTCTTGATTTTTATGCATAGCTTCTACCTCTTTTTTTAGGCTGAAGTAGTTCCCAGTGAGCTCTTCATAATTCTTATTAAATTGCTTGTAGTTCTCACCAAATTGTTTGAGCACCCTTAAAATCATTGCTTTGAATTCTTTATGTGACAGGTTGCTCTCTTCCATTTCGTATAGTTCCTTTTCCAGTGATTCCTCTTTTTTTTTTTTTTTTTATTTGGGTGTTGTTTCTTTGTCTCCCTATTTTAGCCATCTGGTAGCTCTATACCTGGGGAGGGATGTTTGGATGTGTAGGCAGCTCACTGTATATCAAGTAAGGCTACTGTGACTCCCAGACTGATCTGTTGCATGTAGCCCCTTGCCTGCTGTGGATCCTGGGGGACTGACTCCTGGGGGCTGGTATTGGTAGGTGCTGCTGCTGGATTACGTGGGCCCCTCTGAAGCTGTGTTCCCTGCTGGTCCCTGGTGCCACCTGTAGCTGTATTTCTCAGACCCTGCTGGAGCCGCACTCCCTGTCCGTACCTTGGGCTGCTGGGTCGCACAGGTCTGTCTGACACCCCGGCTCTGCACCGGTCTTGTGGGCCTCTGGTTTGCACAAGTCCCTCTGGATCCCAGGTTCTGCACCATTCTTTTCGGCCCCTGGGTCGCACAGGTCCCTCTAGATCTTCGGTCTCCCACTGCTCTTGTGGGTAGCAGTTTTGCACAGGCCCAGATGGAGCCCCAGGTCCCACTGCTGGTGGCTGGTGAGTGCTGCTGCCCAGTAGGGCTCAGCTCCTGCTCAACCTTTGCTGTAGTTTTGGGGGATGGTTCTTTGCTGGTGATCTGTGCTTCTGTTGCTTGTGGATGGACGTCTGCTCCCCAGCCTCTGTTGCTGGGGGTATATCTCTACTCTGATTGGGCTGCTACTGAGGGGGATCATGCTGGACTCCAGGCCATTCGGCTGTTCACTGTTTCCACAGCAGGCACCTTGGGAGCTCCACTACTGTGCACTGGTCTGTGTTGACACTGGGTGTCCACTGGTCCCTTGGTGCCAGGTTTTCTGGTGGGCTCAGGTTGCTGGGCCCTGGCTGCTCCCACTGCTTCCTCCCAGGGAAGACCCAAGATCTTCCAAAATGGTGGGACCTCCCCGTGGTTCAGGGAGAAGTGCCCTGAAGAGCTGCTTACCGCAGTAGCAGGCTGTTCTCCATCCACAGCACAGGAACCTTCTGCTCTGCGTCTCTGCGTTGCATGAGTTTGGTCATCCACCTTCATGTCCACTTATACTGTCTCCCACACTAGTTCACTCTCTCATGCACTCACCCTCCCTCCCGTCCTGCCCCTCACCATCTTTTTTTTTCTTCCATAATTGTTTAGAAATAAAATTAAAATTACATCGCCAAGTAAAAGGTTTTTCTCTAGAAAAAATTAAGTAGACATTAGTGACACAATTCTTACTAAGGTGCATTGTTTAAAAGTGTCCTTTCAATTAAAACATAACTTACTAAATGTATCTGAAATTGCTTCCGTAGTTCTCTTCATCCATTTCCTTTTTGTAAAGATAAATATGTAATTTCTCATTTTGGTCTATAATATATGGTCTTGTTATAGTCATATAGGGCTTTTGAATTGTTTTTACAAATGCTTGTCCGATTTTTCTTTGTTAAGGGATAATAAAAATATAATAACGTTTGAATGGATGTATTGGAGGAAGAAAAAATATACTGAGTAAATAACTGGACTGAAATGAGAAAGAATGGAGAATGTATACTTTTAATTCTTGGAAGTATTTCATAGTATTTGAAATATTAATTAGGTTTCCTTCTCCAGTGCATACATATTGTTGAACATATGTAGGTTTATCGAAATAACTGTTTTATTTAACAGAATTGTTTTCTTGGTTTTTTTTTTTCCAAATTGTTCATTGGTAATATAAAGGAATTTAACTGATTTTATGTGTTGATTTTATATCCTGCATATTATATTGCTGAATGCATTTATTAGGTCTCACTTTTTTATGTAAAATCATTAAAGTTTTCTACATATAACATTGTGTCATCTGCCTTTACTACTATCTCTTGCATAATTGCTCTGGTTAGAAATTCCACTAGTATGTTGGATAACCAGACATCCTTGTCTTGTGTCAATCTTAGAGAAAATGTTTTTAGTTTTTTATCATTGACTATAATGTTAGCTGTGGGTTTCTCATATATGGCCATTATCATTTTGAGGACATTTTCCTATTCCTGTTTTATTTTTTATCATGAAAGGCTGTTGAATTTTGTCAAATACTTTTTATCCATCAATCGAGATGATCATGTGTTTTTTCCTTATTCTGTTAATATGGTGTGTTACACTAATAGGTTTTTGTATGTTGAACTACCCTGTACTCATTCACATTTCTGAAAGCTGATATAGTTCTATTATCTGCCACATTTAACAATTTATTATAATAAAGCTATTTTTTTTTTTATCCTCACCCGAGGACATTTTTTGATATTTTGTTCAGATAGAGTGGAAGGGAGAGAGAGAGAGAGAGAAACATCGATGTGAAAGGGACACATCGAGTAGTCGCCACCCACACAACCCAACCTGGGCCGGGGACAAACTGCAACTGAGGTACGTGCCCTTAGCGGGAACCGAACCAGGGTCTCTGGGGACCGCAGGCCGACGCTCTAACCGCTGAGCCAAACCAGCCAGGGCTAATAATAAAGCTATTTTAAAATGATCATTTTAATGGAGATTTTGAAAAAACATTCTTGAACTTCCCACTAAATTGTTCTGTACCACCATCAGATTTAATTCTGATACTAAAATCTAGAATATATGTTTGGCTTTGTAGTTATTAGTTCCAAGGTAGAGCAGCTTTAATGTATGAAACTGACCTTTCATTTTAGAAAACTAGTCCCTGGTTAATCTGACATCTGTACCTGTGTGTTGTAGGTAAACTTTCGTTTTCCATTAAAACCAGTGAAGATGATGATTCTGAGAAAGATTTTTATCAAGATAAAGATGAAAATGAAGATGAATATGAAAATGTAGAATCTATCTTTCGGAAATCAGTGTCAGAATTATCTATCAAGCTTGATAAGGAAAATTCAGGTAAATTTATTGGTATGGAGAGTTTTATTAGCAATATTCATAAACTGGTTTGTGAGTTGGTACTTTACATTCATAATACATATACAAATGTGTTGTATATATTTGTCAGAATTTTATTGTATTATTTTAATATTAAATTTGTATTGTTTAATTTCTGGATTTGTTTTGCTGTTAACATTAATAGATTATAATCCTTCACCTTGAAGGCTGCCTACTCTTTCATAAGTGAAAAACTTCATATATATTTCTGTTATTAAACAAAAAACAGCAGTAAATTTCTGATAAAATATAAAGGAGTATATTATTTTAACAATATAATATGCTTTTCTTCAACAACTGAACATCATAGCCCCACCAAATCGATACATAAAATTAACCATCACAGAATACATGGGTTAAGAGTGATATTTAGGCAACATTCAAAATACCTTGGGAAGGGAAAAGCAGTTGGGGCCAGCTAGTCCACTGCAACAGCAAGTAGTGTTTGAAGTGAAGAGAACGATGTCTTTTATGGTAGTGATGGGGATAGAGAAATACCACTGAAGGTGGAAAACATTTTAGAAACTAGTATTAGATGACTCTCTTGAGAAAGGAAGTAGAAAAAAAAGATTGATTCCAAAAAATAACAAGGTTTGTATCTTGGTGAATAGAAAAATATTAAGATAGAAATTTAGAAGTGTTGTAACTTTGTTAACATTTGTTAAGTAGAGCCCCCAGGGTGTCAGATGGTGGTGAGTCAAGGTTCAGCAAAAGACTGCAAAGGAAAGTGAAATAGAGAAGTTTGCTACTCACAGGTCCAGGAAGAGATACTCAGAGGTTGCCAGGGAGATCAAGACAGGGTGGAGGCAGAGAGAGAGGAAGGACCTGGGCACATGCCTTTATTTGGATCTTTGGATGGAATGCTTTGGGGTTCCTGGGCTAAGGCCAGACTGGTCAATTCAGAGTAGGGTTTTCATAAGCTTCATAGGGGGTCTTATCTAAGGGACACAAGGGGAAGGTCCTGAGAGGCTGGGAGGGTACTTAGCACAAGGGTGGTTTTTGGAGTCATATTATGAACTTATATTTATTTGTAACTCTGCTGTGCTGCTTTCTAGGATATGTACTTTGGGGAGTATCTAGTGTCACTTCAAGGCCCCTGCAGGCTGCTTGGCCACACAAAATGGAAAAGGGGGAAGTAATATAAAGTAGTTTAGTTAAACTTAATAAGTAGAAATAAGCCTGGGAGATTATAATGCTTAGCACAGTTTTGTGTTTCCTGATTCTGATGTGACAGTACACAATTTACATGGCAATATTCAGTCATCAGTTGAATATTTGGAGCTGAGACAAGGTGAAAAAAATAGTAAAATAGGTTGTGAAAGTTTAGGGATTCTGCAGTTGAAATCATGCAGGTGAGGTAAAGAACCTTCACCTTCTCCCAAACAAACAATGGTAATTATGGCCCTGGCCAAGCTTTGTTCCCTGCACCAAAAGGTCGCCAGTTTGATTTCCTTCCAGGGCATATCCCCAGGTTGCAGGTTCAATTCCCAGCCAGGGTGCATGTAGGCGATAACTGATGGAGGCAACTGATTGATGCTTCTCCCACATAAATGTTTCTCTCTCTCTCTCCCTCTCCCTTCCTCTCTCTAAAATCTGTAAAAACATTTTAAAAAAAGTAACTATGTAAGCTGATAGATACGTTAATTAGCTTGAATGTGGTGATTATTTCAAAATGTATATCAAATCAAGTTGTATACTTTCAAGATATACACTTTTTAAGTCAGGTGTACCTCAGTAAAGCTGGGACAAAAAAGAAATGAAAATAACTAAAGAATTTTTTAACCTTCCAAATACGGAAATATGAAAATAATGGTAACACCCAGTTTTTAATGATGGTCAAGCCTAAAGAGATAATCTTATGCATTATAATGGGAATTTCAATTGATAACAATTAAAGAGAGCATTTAAAGTATGTTTAAAAATTTTGCCCTGGCTGGTTTCGCTTAGTGGTTAGAGTGTTAGCCTGTGGACCAGTGAGACCCGGGTTTGGTTCCCGCTAAGGGCATGTACATCAGTTGCAGTTTGTCTCTGGCCCTGGTTGGGGTTGTGTGGGTGGCAACCAGTCAATGTGTCTCTCTCATGTCGATGTTTCTCTCTCTCTCTTCCTCCCTCTCTCCCTCCAGCTCTATCTGAAGATAAATGCAAAAATGTCCTCGGGTGAGGTTAAAAAACAAACAAACAAAAATCTTTTAAGAGTTGTTTATCCCCTTTGGTCCAATTATTTCAGTCCAATACATTTTTTTGGAATAAAACAATTAAAGATATGCATACATGTTTTTGTATGAAAATGTTACTTATATAATTTATTATGTGGAATAATAGAAAATTATATTTCCAATTTTTAAATTTTGTTTAAAATGTTTTTGAAGAGGTATTACCTGCATATAAATGTTTCTTTTTGCAGTTTTATTGAGAAATAATTGACATATATAACACTGTCTAAGTTTAAGGCATACAGCATGATAGTTTGATTGACTGGATGTATTGTGAAATGATTACCACAATAGGCTCCACTAAAATCCATCTTCTCATATAGATATAATAAAAAGAAAAGAAAGAAGAAATGAACAGAGGAAAAGAAATTCTTGTGATTAGAACTCTTAGGACTTACTCTCTTAATAACTTTCCTATATCATACAGCAGTGTTAACTAGTCATCATGTTGTACATTGTATCCCTAGTACTTATTTATCTTATAATTGGAAGTTTGTATCTTTTGACCATTTTTATCCATTTCTCCCAACCTCCACCTCTGGGAACCACAAGTTTGATCTGTTTTTCTATGAATTTTGTGGGCTTTTTGCTTCTTTGCTTGTTTTTTTAGATATTTGTCTTTTTCTGTGCGACTTAATTCACTTAGCATAATACCTTCAAGGTCCATCCACATTGTCATAAATGATAGAATTTTCTCTTTTGTTCTTTTTTTTTTAACAACTGAATAATATCCTGAATTATTCATTCATTCATCTATGGATACTTAGATTGTTTTCATGTCTTTGCTATTGTAAGTAAAGCTGCTATGAACATGGGGGTGCAGATATCTTTCTGAGTCAGTGTTTTTGTTTTCTTTGAATATATTCCCAGAAGTGGAATTTCTGCATCACATAGTTCTATTATTAAGTTTTGGAGGATCCTCCATAGTGTTATCCATAGTGGCAGTACCAATTTACAATCTTACCAACAGTGTACAAGGGTTTCCTTTTCTCCACATCCTCACCAGAATTTGTTATATATTCTCTTTTTGGTGATGATCATTTAACAGGTATGAGGAAATATGTCATTGTGGTTTGAACTTGCATTTCCCTAGTGACTAGTGATGGAACTTAAATTTTAATAGCGACTATTCTCTGAATTATAAAAGTGTGTATACACACTTATATGGATATATCAATTATGTATAATTTGTATATCCCAGTGTGTGTGTGTCTTTATGGATAATGTGAAGCATGGAATTTTATACCAAAAAAAAAATGAAGTAGTGTACTCTTGGTTATGAGATGATGAATAATTTCCATTTGCTTTAAGCTTTTAAAGAATTTCTAAAGTTACTATAGTGAATATTACTGATTTTATAATTAGAAAAAAGTTTTAGTATACTTAGGCCCTGTAGTTAAATATTTATTGATTATTATTTTTGTTTTTTCTCATCAATAAAACATCTACAATCCTAGCCATTGAATTCATATTTGATGTACATTTTTAGCACTGTAGGAATTAAATCAGCTTCATCCCAACATTGCTTTATGTAAATTACAGCAATTACAAATAGTAGGTGTTATTTATCCATGTGGTAGTTAATTTTATGTGTCAACTTAGCTTGACCATGGTGCCCAGATATTAGGTCAGACATTATTCTTGATTTTTCTCTGAAGGTGATTTTGGTTGAGAATTACATTTAATCTGTGTACTTTGATTGAGTCTCTAGTCTGCCCATTTATCCTGCAGATTTTGGATTTACCAAACCAATTAAGTGAACTATTTTGAAAAATACACACACACACACACACACACACACACACACACACACACACCCTGTGGTTTTGTATCCTAACTAATACAGCCCCCACAGATGGGCAGACTATTTTACTGCCCTTTGCACGAACCCAGAGTCATTCAGTCTTCTTATAGACACCCTTTCTTTTCAGAATTATTTTCTCTGTGAGTTCAATGTGGATTAAAGCATTGGAAAAATTCATAAAATATGCATGAGCTAGAATGGGAAAGACTTTTCATTTTAAGAACTTTGGTTTATTGTGAGATGTCACTTTTAAACATCATAAAAATATTTAAAGCCCTTTTATAGAATTGAAGGAGCAGCCAGAACAAATGTGACCAGTGGTTTTCTTAATAATCAATATAAATTTGGTCATTTATTCCTTGTACATTAGTATTTTTAAGGTAATTAATTGGTTTCCATAAAATAAGCACAGCAAGTAATTCAAAATGTGGAGGTAACTTTGGATAGTGTTGTTCAGGTGGTTGGGCATCATCCCATGCACCAACAGGTCACCAGTTTGATTCCTGGTCAGGGTACATGCCCGGGTTGTACATGGCAGTAGGGACATGCAGGAGGTGGCCAATCAGTGCTTCTCTCCCACATCGATATTTCTCTTTCTCCTTTTCCCCAACTCTCTCTCTAAAATCAATAAAACGTATTTAAAAAATAAAAATAAAAACTGATCTGATTTTAAACAACAACAACAACAACAAAATATGGAGGTAAGTTTTCCCTCAGGAACTTCTCACACACATTTGTAATAAGTACTCAGCTAGATCTCCTCTCTCCATGTCCCTCACTAGCGGATTGCTCTGAATTTCGGAGTTGTTCTCAGCTCCACTAATTCGATAAGTACTTCTTGATTGCTAAAGTATTAGAATAGGTCAATATACAATATCATGCAATATAATATGTTACAAAACAGTAAAGTACAGTATAAGATAATGCCATATACTACACTAAACTATAATGGCATTCAATGCAAAACAATATGCTTTCTCAGAAGAGAGAGACACTGAGAAATCTACTAGTCTGGGCCTCTTATTTCATAGATGAGGAAACTGAGGCTCAAAGAAGCTAGTGATTTATCTAATTTAGTCAAATATATCAGTTTTCAAAATCTTTAAAACATGACTATACTGATATAACATGCATATAATTAATTGAAACTGGAGAATGTCTTAAACTACAAACTAGGTTAATGCTGAAGAATAAAGAATATCAAAATGAGAAGCTGAACAGATGAGAACAAATGGACAGAACCTGAGTTTGATGCTAGTATAAACCCTGCTACACTAGGCTGCTATGGTAGACCAAGGTTCTGGTTTCTGAATTTGAAAGTGTAACTTTGGTCATTACCAGCAACAGAAATGCCTCCTGTTAAACAGTATTGGGAACCCAATTATAAATATAAATTTCTCCTCACTTGGTCCATACTCCATTGCAGCTTTCTTGGGTCTAAATTGCTAGGATCCTTTTTCACCGTGCCAGGAATTCAGAAATCTCTTCAACTATTCCTGACTTTGTCTTTAGACTGGATTCTTGTGGTACTGGAAATGTACCATTGTGAATTATAATACCATATTTAGACATTCCTGCATATAATAGGTTAGTGCTTTGGCAATTATGGCAAAAAAGGATTGATTGTTTCTTTTGAAATATTAATCTTTAACTTAAAAGAAAAACATCCAGCCCCGGCTGGTGTACTGGCTCAGTTGGTTGGACATTGTCCCATGCAATGAAAGGTCGCCAGTCAGGAGGCAGCTGATCTGTGTTTCCCTCTCACATCAATGTTTCTCTCTCTACCTCTCTTTCTAAAAAATCAATTTCAAAAATCATAAAGAAAAAAGTAAAACATCCATAAGTTTATTTTAGTGGAGAACTAAAATTACTGGAGCAGGCACCAGGCAAGGAGTGTTTACAGGCCATTATCATGGCCATGAAAAATAGGGCTTCTCTTAAGGTCCCACAAACAGTGATGAATTTGCCTTCTAACCCTCCCCTAGCACTCTTGACAAATGAGTCCATCAAAAAAGAGTTTGCAAATGGTATCTGTTCATGTTTCTCAAATTTTTATGTTAAGTATGGTGTTCTGAAGCCTATATTAAGAAATGTTTTTTTTTTTGTTTTTGTTTTTGTTTTTTTAGATGATAGCAATGTACAAGTCTGGTTTGATCTTGAGATCCATATCCATCCTGGGAAACCTGTAAACACTATTGAAATAAGATGTATTTCTATGGTAAGATCCCATTAAATGCTCATTAGATTTTGCCTTTTTGCAGACAGAGCTTTTAGTTGTACACTTAAATTGCTATCCCTATAAAAATCAATATTAAATACTCATATTGGGATAAATTATTCAAATTACAGCAATTTGATTTTTAAGTCCAGTGATATGTACCTCGAAAGCATATGTAAGATATTTTCTTTTTAGTTCTGTGGTATCTTATAGTGCTGCACTGATTAGCATTCTACCTGGATGTTTCTAGAGTTACTAGAGGAAACTTAACCTTTGCCTTCATGCTTGCCCTCACATGTCTGATAAAAGCAACAAGGTGTCTCTAGGCTTTTTAAATACTGATTCTTCCTGGTTTCTACAGCAGGTCTTTCACTTTGAAGCGTATTTGGAGCAACTGGCATAGATTTAGGGTTTTAAATAATAGTGACTAAGAATAGAATTGTCTTATGTGAATTATTCAAGTGTTACTAACACCGTGTCCATGATTATCTAAGAGTAAAATATTGAGAATCTTGGTTTAAATGAAACATGAAGACAGTATTAGTTACTGTTAATCATGTTTTCATTTAATTTAATTTTCTTATTGTTAGTACTCAAATATTTAAATCTATGATAAAGGTTATTTTTATTTTTTAATATGAAGATACATTTCTTTATACGATTATTTAGAATCTTGAACTTTTGCTTCATCAAATAGAAAATGAGAAAAGACGTAAAACATTTTCATTCTATAAATCAATTATTTGCCCACCTGCTTTCTGGGTAAATTTCCACTGAAGCATAGAGAATGGATGATTAAACTATTGAAATGCACTCAAGTATAGATCGCAAAAGCAGTCTCCTCTATGTGGAAAATTATTTAATATGATGGTAGGATCATTTCACTCAATGAAAATGTTCTATTTCCATGACTGTTATCACTGCTGAATAAAATCTTTCCTAAAGGTTATTTTTAAATGACACAACTTTAATTATGAAACAACTTGCTGTGGAAATCATTACTAGATTAAAAGTAATCTCTTTATCAGGACACAGGGGAAAACTATTTTAAAAATAGGTCCAGGAGAAATTGAGACCATGAGGTGGCACCTCAAAAAGGGGGAGACATTGGCTTTCTTATTAACCATATGTTTAAAATAGGGATAGAGATGAATAGACATGAAATATGCAACACAAACTCACAGTATAGATACAATTCCAAAATTACTCACAAACAACTGTTGCATCTTCTCATTAAAGGGTACATAAACTGCCCTTTTATGGGAAAGAATTATTCACCCTTGAAGAAATTGAGATTTTTGTAATTCCGAACTTCACATGGTAAAGATTGTCACAGGCTGAGATACACATACCATCAGGGTACTTTATATGGATAAATAGGAAAACTGAGCAAAAAAGCAAAAGAAGCCATCACTTGTCTCTTCAATGCACTTCAAGTATGCTTTTTATTTTTTAAATTAAGATTTGTACATACCCTTTGGAGACCATATTGTCTGCATGAATAATGTACTTTCAAATGGGCCCTTCTCAATTTTCCATAAGGGAATTCCCCCTCCCGCTGCAGTAATTCCATTATTATTATTTAATCCTAATTTAATACTACAGTAGGATACCTATAACTCTTTTTATTTGTATAATATTTCAGATTATTATCAATTATACTATTGCTTTTATTTTTCATTTTGAATATTTAACATATTTATTTCAGAAAGATATTGAAATAATTTCCTCTCAACGTCTAAATGAAAATGCAAGTTTTGAGCCCCCATTCTGTTGAGTAGTTTTTGTTGTTGTTTATGTGTGTGTGTATTTTAGTAGTTTTATATCAGAATGCAGGAGCAAAACTTAGCACCATCAGCTGCTACATTGCTCTCTTTGTCACTATAGACAGGTATTCTGCACTAACTAAATGTTCACTTTCAACTGAGTTTGGTGGAGAAGTGGAGTCTTTTTCCACTAACTCTATCCACATAGGCCACCAATAACAGTGATAAGGTGGCCAAGGTATTAAGCTTTGGCACTTTTTATTTTTATCCTCACCAGAGGATATTTTTGCATTTATCTTCAGACAGAGTGGGAGAGAGAGGGGTGGAAGAGAGAGAGAGAGAAACATCAATATGAGAGAGACACATCGACTGGCCACCACCCTCACAACCCCAACTGGGGCCAGGGACAAACTGCAACCGAGGTACATGCCTTTAGTGGGAACCGAACCCGGGACTCCCAGTCTACGGGCCAACACTCTAAACGCTGAGCCAAACCGGCCAGGGCAGCTTTGTCACTTTTTAATAGTAATTGCCTAAGGTAAAAATTCATGAGCTATCAATCCATGGACGTGCAGATTTAGTTTGTAGAGATGGTATGGGCTATTTTAAATAATCCCATCAAATAACCTTTTTGCACTTCTTGAAGAAGATGCTTTCTGAATACTTTCTGAAGAACATTAAAGCTGTTTTCATCACCTACATATTGTTCCCTAATATTTTTTCCTGCAGTTGCTGTTTTTGCTAAACTTTTGAGAAATATTTTACTTAAACCTTAAATCATCAGATGTGGCAATGGAGTTTTCAAGATACTAAGCCATCTCTGATTTTCTATCTGCTTCTCAGCTTTTGTTATATTAAATCCAATTTCCACTTGTTCCTTAGAGATGAATGAGTGGTTTGAATCTCTGAAATAGGGTTTGTGTAAGAAATATTTAGACCCTGAGGCACATAAATTTGCTCACTTCGTACAGCAGTTTCCAAAAATCAGATTATATTCACAATAAACAGTAATTGGTTGTTAGTAGTTCATTTTATGTTGGGGTAAAGTATTTAGGATTTCTCTTGGAAATTTTAACATGTAATGTCTGCTGTTTCATTTTGATTGAACTCAAAAATCTCTTGTATGCCATATAGTTTGGCTGTGGGAGAATGATGAGAGTAATCCACTATCTTCCCACCGACACAACAGTTCCAGTATAGAGCAGTGAGCTGTATTTTGTGAAAACAAAACTGAAGTGTGTGAACAAAATTTTATATGCTTTAACTTTTAGATCAGTCATCGCCTTCATAATAATTGCCCTGTCAGTGATAATTGTGTGACTATTTCTTTACTTATTTTTTCATTCTGTAATCAACTTTTAATTAAATTCACTGCATTGTTAATGGTGAGACCTACAAATCTCTCCACAAGCTAATAAGTGAGGAACATAGTTAAAGGCATAGTTAATCCACATGGTGTCAAATATAAAAACATTAATGCAAAACAAAACATGTGAGTTGTCAACCATTTTCAATAAGTTCTTAATTTAAAAGTTTAGCCTTTATAATATGAAAAATATTTTTTCAGGTACTCATTTTGTTATGCATTTTCTTCTTTCCTTTATATGTTTATATTCTTTATTTTTTTTCTGGGTGAAAAACCATATGTCATGAGAGTTGTACATGATATTCACATTTTTCTTCCTCATGAAATGTTAAGGTAGGAAAAATAAGCATTCTGCTTTGAATTTATCTTAAGTTGTGAAAAATTCTTAAATTGAATTTTAAAATATCTCATGTCCTCTTTTACATTAATTTACTATATATGTATATTGCTATGGTATAGATATAAATAGATAGATAATATGTGTGTGTATATATGTGTACATATATGTATATATATGGGTGTATATGTGTGTATATATATATGTGTATATATATATATATATATAGAGAGAGAGAGAGAGAGAGAGAGCGAGCGCACTTATAGGTTATGTTAAGCAACTAAGTACGAGTGTACTTCCTAGGGATCAGTCCTTGTAATTAGATGTCTCTCTATTGTCCCTGCCTTTCATAGTCCCCCACCCCCACCTGGGCACAAGATTATGGGAAATGTCAGAATACATGTGAACAAACCTATAGACACTATAGGAGTTCCTGGGTTTTCACAGCTCCTTGTGCCTATGAATACCTCCTCACCCCCACGTCACCCCCCAATGTGGCATTAGCACCCACCTCTGCGATCTTTGTGTCTCAAGTTGAATGGTGGAGGGCTGGAGATGGAGTGGGAGACCTGACTTTAGTAGGTACGGTGACATGCAGGTGGCAATAGCGGAGGAATGAATGACCTGGTTCCTCTGAGTTCTGGACTGTTCATACTGAATTTTCAATTTGAGGAAATTACTGAAACATTATAGTCATTACTTCCTCTGAATTACGTGGTACTTTTTGAAATACCTTTGGTACAGTTTTTTTTTTTTTTTTTTTAGTGACTTGGTAATGTTTTCAAATTGAATAAAATTAAAATTGAAGATGTACACAATTAAATATCTTACTTAAATTAATAGTATTGTATGTTTGGGACCTCAGAAGTAAACCTTTTATAGTGAATTTATGATTATCTTCTGGGAGAGGAGATGGTGAAAAATAGTTTCTGCTAGCGCATATTGAATTGCCATTGACGCAATTAAACTTTTATGAGCCAAAACATAATCTTTATTTACTCAGACCCATTGAGAGTAGAAAGTATGAAGTTTTCAGTGCAAATACTCAGTGAATTAAATTTTTCCTGCTCAGAGAGTGTGTGAATGTAATATTTATCCAGTCATTTATTTATATAGAGGTAATCAAGCAAATGTTTGCTCCATGGGCAAAGCTGCAGTGTCTGTCTTCAAGATATGTTTTGTGAATAACTAATTCTCTCCCCATCACCACCTGTTTCCACCAGCTTAGTATTAGGTTTTGGGTTTTTTGTTTTTGTTTTTTTTTTTTTTTTTTGCCACTCCTGTAATGTGATTTGATAAATTTCAGAATAGCTCCATGTCCTAAAGTACATCCATTACCAATTTTTAAATTGTGACTGTGTGACTGAAATGTCCAACATTCTCCTTTTTGTTAGGTTAAGGCATTCTATACAACTGGTCTTTGTTCAGATTGAGATGTGTCCTATCTGTTATTCACCTTTAACACATTTGCTTCAATTATTGGCTTTTGGAAATTGCCATTAATTGTAATTTGTGGCAGTCATGGGATAAAATATGAGTTATTAGCCAGGATGGGTCAGAACGAAGATCAGGAAATGTCCTTGAACTTGAACAGAGCCTTTCAAGGCTGAGTATGTAGCACAGGGTGGGGGTGGGGTGGGGTGGGGTGGGGTGGGGTGGGTGGGAGGGAGAAACCAGAACAGAAGAAAGCAATCTAAATAGGAAGATAGTCATATCATAAGTATAATATGACTTCTTAGCTCAGATTATCCATATTGCTTGATGCTGATGTACAGAGCTACTTAAAGTATATCCTCTAGATCCACAGCAGCAGCCACAGTGTTTTAGAAATATAGGTTTTCAGGCTTTATCCAAGATCTACTGAATCAGAATCGTTGGAGTAGAGGGTGAATGATCTATGCTTTAGCAACCTCTACAGTTGATTCTCCTGCATGCTGAAGCTTGAGTACTACAGCTAGAGGAAATCGATAAGTGGACCTCACATTAATAATGGTACTAAGGAAAAAATATTTTAAATGTAATTTTACAGCATCCTTAGTGATTAGCTATTAAGATCTTTTGGAGTACTTGTTGTTGAAAAAAAAATAATGTTACCCTTTAGCAAGACTAATAAAGGAAAATAAAAGATTAAAAGCAAGTAAGGTACATTCTGTAGTGGATCAAGGAGAAAAAGGAAACAAATGGCCTTATATTGTATTGAACTTTTCTTTGTATTTGCTTAGATAGAACACTGACTCTGACTGACACTAAGAGCTGATTATATTTGTTCTGGAACTCTAGGAGAGCATTTGGTTTGAAATACCTCTCCGTAATGCAAGAGATAACATTCTTCAAATAGAAGTGCTGTTATCAAATCCTGCCCTTTCTGGGATCAAGAACTTTACGTTGAATCCAGAAGAATGTATTGACTATGCTGTATGCTATACCCCACTGGCTACAGGCTATAGAGAGGAAAGGTATGGTTTCAGTATGGCATTATATTTTATTGTTGATTTTTTCAAATTAAACTTTTAAAATGATTGTTTGTGTGCTATAACCATTTAGATTACACTTGCTCATAATTTTAGCTTTTTAAAATACCATGTATTTGTAAAATGTACTAGAGTTATTGTTTTCCCCAGTGTAAAAATATTATCTATTGGAATATCAAGTTAAATAATTCCTAAATTATTCTTTATGTACTCTCTTTGATTCCACTTTTCACTAACCAGATTTTTCTAGGTGCAAAAATTGAGTTCAATGAAAATGATTACACAAGGATTAGGGGTTAAACTTTCAGTTTTCTTGATGAAATTAATTTATGTTTTACATTCTCAATTGAATAGAAATCATCTTCTTGGAAGACGTAGAGAATATGAAATTAAAGGTATTATACTATGCTGAATATATACAAAGATGCTTCTTATGATGGGGTTAATGTCCCATTTAACCCATTGTAAATGGAAGATATTGTAAGTAAAACATGCTTTTGCCTTGGCCAGTTTGGCTCAGTTGTTGGAGCGTTGGCCTGCAGACCAGAGAGTCCCGGGTTCGGTTCCCACCAGGGGCACATACCAAAAAAAAAAAAAAAATGCTTTTAATACACCTAACCTGCCAAATATCATAGCTTTGTTTAACCTACCTTAAGAGTACTAAGAACACTTAGATTAGTTTACAGATGAGAAAAATTATCCAACACAATAAATACACTGTAGATTATCAGTTGTAGCCCAGGAAAAGATCAGAATTCAAAATCTGAATTGCAGTTTGTACTGAGTGCATATCTCCATTTGCACCATTGCAAATTTGAAAGATAGTTCAAAAGTTGAACCATTTAAGTTGAACCATTGTAAATCGAGGACCGTCTCTGTGTTTACACACACACACATATCACAAACTTACACCGATATATACACATATATTAGCAGTACAATGATAAGTGTTTTTGTTTGTTTGTTTTATCCTCACCTGAGGGCTTTTTTTGCATTTATCTTCAGATAGAGCAGGAGGGAGAGAGGGAAGAAGAGAGAGAGAGAAACATCCATGTAAGAGACACATTGAGTGGTTGCCACCCACACCACCCCAACCGGGGCCGGGGACAAACTGCAACTGAGGTAAGTACGTGCCCTTAGTGGGAACCAAATCTGGGACTCTCTGCTCTGTGGGCCGATGCTCTAACTGCTGAGCCAAACCAGCCAGGGCGATAAGTGTTTTTATAGCATGATAATTATGAAAGCTTAGTAATGTATACTCAGGTCCATGAACACACAAACACATAACCACTGTGTTCATGATTAACTCAAGTAGTTTATAGTAAAATAACCAACTTTTTTTCTTTCAAAGTAATATCTCATTTATTTGTTATAGTTTTAAAGATTAGACTTAGTATGGGTATGTATAATGAAATGCATTCATTATTCCACCAAAATGCCTTTTACTAATTTCTATGCTCTTTCAGAGTTAGAATAATTAATTTAATAAATAAATAAATATATATATTTGTTAAATTTTAGAGGATACAAATGTTTATAATGTGAAGTAGGAAAACAGGAACCTAACATATTGTAAAAGACACTGTTTTGATAGACTACCATTGTACATAAGGGTTAGTCTCCTCTCCCCAGTGGCACTATAGAAGCTTTGTGGACACAGGCTGAATCTTGAATTTTTGTTGTCAGCGTACATTAGAAGACATAATTTGGGGTAATACAGACTGCTTACTCTGATAGCATCACTGTGCCATGTATTTTACTTACATACAATTTTCAAAGTAACCATGAGAGAGTGGTAGGAATAATTTCTTCCATTTTATAAATGATGAAATTGAAGCTCAAAATGTTAAGTGACCTGTTCAAGGCCGCACAAATAAAAGATGGCAGAGCTGGGATACCTGCCCAGTTACACTGTCACATGCTCTGTCACTGTGTCCTCTGTAGGTGAGCACATGCTGATTATAAAGGAAGCTCTCCAGAGCTGCATGTCACTTGATAGCCTTCACATGAAAAAATACATGTGTTTAATTCAACAAATTAAATTAGATTTAATCATGGTTTGAAAGCAAGACTTTTCTTGTTGTTGCTCCTGCAAGGTATTTGAATTATTTAGGTTTAAACATTTTTCATTGACTTAACATTTATTAAATATATTAATAATGGTACTGTTTTTCTTGAATAATGAGATGATTTTCTCACCAAAAATGAAAAAAATTAAATATTTCTACAATGAGAATAGAATGTGTCACCAAGCCATTGTCAAATACTGTTTTGGGGATATTTTTTCTGCCAAATTTATTATACAAACTAAAACAACTGATTAGATTTTATGTATTCTCTCCACCAGCATTATTTTTCAGCCTGATAAGATTCTTGAGTTCTGGTATGTACTGAAATTTACTGTCGAATTACCAAATCCAGTCACAACGCCAGAAATGCAGTGTGACCTTGGGAAGTAAGTTCTATTTAATAGATTAAATTATTTCATGAAAGAAAAAAAAATGTTTATCTAAAAGAGCGTTATAATGTATTTAACATTTTAAAATAAGACATGAGTATGTTTTTAATTGATTTTCTCTTCCAAGGAAGGTTTGATATTTAAACTACCCCATGGAACACTTAAGTGAGAGAAATAATAGTCAAGACTTGGTAAGGAGAAGCTTTTACTAGAAATGATGATTGTAAGAGAGGGAAAGGGACTATAGAGATAGTCAGAGGGGACTATTGTAGTAGGAAGAATGTTCTGATCTAAGAAATATACAAGCATCTCAAAATCAAAAGGAAAAAGATTTTTACTTTATAGGGTAACAGAGGGGCAAGTAAAGAGAGCCAAGTAGAATCTTTGGAAGGAAACCTAGACAAGGAAGGGAAAATGACCAGTGGGTACAGATAGGGAAAATGCCTTGCTGGAATGAGCTGATTCCCAGGAAAAGCCAAGAAGGGAGACATGTTCTACTTTTTTCTGTGGTTGCTCAGGCTTGGAGACAGCAGAGTTCAGGGGGCTTTTGGAAGGAGAGAAACTAAAGTTTGGTCAAGGCAAAGAGAAGGTAAACAATAGAAAAACGGTGGATACTTGGTCACTTGGTTAATATCATATTACCTTGAGATATGAACATTTATATTTAGGTGGTTGAATTCTTATTACATGTCTGGCACCAAGTTTGGTCCTATTACATGGGGATAACTAAATCACAATTTCTGCTAGTGGGAAAATCAGTGCCTTTTCATCAGTTTCTCTCCCTTAGTCAGTCACACACACACACACACACACACACACACACACACACACAAAAACAATGTTGAATTTTCCTAATACCAAATTTTGAACCAAACCCTCACTGCAAGTGATTTAGTAAGGGGTGATTCCAGGGTAGAAAAATCAGTAAGAGAATAGAGGAAGCAGGATAAGAAAAGGGAAGAAGCTAAGCAAGAGTGTGCTTTCAGGTACAGCCCCAGACATTATCTGGTCCTGCAGGAAGGTCTGGAGCATAAATTACACCTCAGAGTTGACCTTGTCTTGATGTTAAGATGCTGGACTTTTGAACTCCCCCACTAGTCACTATTAGCTTCCTTGGGATGAGTCATAAACTCCCAGACACTTCTGCCGTAAAACTGAGGAGGCTCCAGGACCCAAGGGCAATCATCTGAAGGTCTCAGATGAGCAGCAAGAATACAAAAGTTGAGGGTGGGGTGGGGCCAGAGAGCTGGTAAAAATCTTCTAAGGGAACTAGGTGGGGCACCAGCAGTGTCTACTACAAATTGTTTACAAACTTATTTCTAGTTGTACATATTTCTTCTTGTTTTTAAAATATTAATATATGGTCCAGACGGTGTGGCTCAGTGGTTGAGCATAGACCCATGCACCAAGAAGTAGCTAGTTCAACTCCCGGTCAGGAAACATGCCCAGGTTGTGGGCTAAATCCCCAGTGGGGGGCATGCAGGAGGCAGCCAGTCAATGTTCTCTCTCATTGATGTTTCTCTGTCTCTCTCCCTCTTCCTCTATCTCTAAAATCAATAAAGGAAAACAAATTTAAAAAATATTAATATATGAAAACTATATATGTATAAATAATTATTAATAAATGTAAGATAATTTTGTGAACATATTTGACTCAGTTTTATAATCTTTTTTTATTTCATTAAAAAGCACTATTCTCTTTAATTTTAAGTCTTGTTTTTGAACATATTTTTTTTAATTTAATTTCTTTTTATCTAAGTCATACTGTGTATAATTAAAAGACATAATATTTAAATATGTTTGGCAGAAACTATTTATATTAACCAGCCTTGTCTTGGATCTTTATCCTTTTTGACATTTGCACAGTTTTTCATTGTGCCCAGTGTCCTTAAAATTCTTAATTTGTTGGTGTGACTTTATTTTCATACATTTTTTTCAGGTAGGTGGGGCCTCTTTCAGTGTGGAAACAATTGATATAATTCATATTTCTGGAAATCTCGAATTATGTCATCTCTTCTCTCTACAACATCCATTTTTTTGGATTTACAACTTGGGGGCTATTTTAATAATGTTTTAATTTTTTTTGCCTTTTCCCCCAACATCTGTATTTTTGTAGTTAGACAGATTTATTTAGTTTTGTATTCCAATCTTTTTGTTGAATTTTCACATCAGCTATCAACATCCAAGACCATTTTTACTTTTGTTTTTATTTGAATGTTTCTTTTGTTTGTTTTAAAAATAGAACATTCTGTTCTTATTTCATGTTTGTAATATTTTATCTCATATCCCTTAAGGTATGAAAGGTAATTTTAAGAAGCCATGGTCTTTGTCTTAATGTTTTTATTTTTTCCTATTAGAAATTTTCTCTGGATGCTCATATTTATGTGTGAGGCTCTAAACTGATAGTTGAGTCTTATTGGCCCATTCATGTTGTTCTATGTGCTAGATAGACTTCATTTGTTTTCTTTGTTGCAAAAAAGTATTCCTTTTTATTGTTGATGAACCTTTGTTCCAGGTTTGGTATATTATGAAAAATATTGTTTATAACATTGTATATGCTTTTTTTTTTTTTTGCACATTTGTGCTTATTTCTATTGTGTATAAAATGGGGATGTAATATCATTTAAATTTAGTGGGTAATTGCAAAGAGTTTGACATTGGTTGTACCTTTTACACTCCTACCAGTCACATATGAATTTTTTTTGCTTCACATCCTCAAAAACATGCGTATTGTAAGACCAATTTTAACCATTCTGGTTTGTGTGAAGTGGTACCTCAATGTACTTCTTTTTTTTAAAATTTTTTTTTTTTATCCTCACCAGAGGACATTTTTTTTTTTTTTTTTGCATTTATCTTCAGACAGAGTGGGAGGGAGAGAGGGGGGAAGAGAGAGAGAGAGAAAAACATCAACGTGAGAGAGACACATCGAGTGGTTGCCACCTGCACGAGCCCAATTGGGGCTGGGGACGAACCGCAACCAAGGTACGTGCCCTTAGCGTGAACCTAACCCGGGACTCTCTGGTCCACAGGCCAAAGCTCTAACTGCTGAGCCAAACAGGGCAGGACGTGTACTTTTCATTAGCATTTCCTTCATGACTAATGAGGTTGATGCCATAGTCATATATTTATAGACCATTTTGATAGTACTTTCAATTACAGTCACATTCAGTGTTATTTTGTATTAGTTTCAGGTGTAGAGCACAGTGGCCAGACAATACACATTTTTATACTATCTATACCAATTTGCATTCCCATCAACAGTGTGCTATTGGTTGCTTTTTCCACATGCTCACCAATACATATCTTACTTTAAAAAACAAAGTCATCCTAACAGGTGTGAGATGATATACCAGTGTGGATATGGTTTGCATTGCTATAGAGTATTCCGTTTTTTATACTGTATATAAAATTAAAAATGATAGTAGATTGAAAATTATGAACCCTCTTGATTATTCTTTATTTTGACCTTAAATACCAGCCACATTTTGGGTGGCGGATTTATTTCATCATTAGTTTGTATCTTCTCGATGTGATAGAACTTTGTTAATTTATTATTCTTAGTTGTTATTTTTGAACTATGTTAACTTTTTTGTCTGGATTCAGTAGTTAGAAAATAATCGGTAAACATTGCTTCTAAAACTGAAATATGTTCCAGTACCCAATATGTAATATCATTGGTGTCAAGAATAGAGAATCAGGGATTATTTAATTTAGCAAAATGTCATTAGTTCATATATGATAATTTTTATTTTGCAGCTCATACAAGTCATTATATTAGCTTCATAGGCCTGCCATAACAAGTAACATTAACTGGGTGGCTTAAGACAACATTAGTTTATTGTTTCACAGTTCTGGAGGCTAGAAGATTGAAATCAAGGTTTCAGCAGGACCATGCTTTTTCTGAGGCCAGTAAGGGAGAATCTTTCCTTGCTTCTTCTGACTTCTGGTGTTTGCAGGCAATCCTTGGTGTTCCTTGCCTGTGGATGCATCTCCAATCTGCACCTCCACTGTCATATGGACATCTTTTCATGTGTCTTCATATCATCTTCATATAAGGACAGCAGTCATATTGGGTTAAGGATCACCCTACTGCAGGATGACCTCATTTTAACTAGTAACATCTGCTACAACCCTATTTCCAAATAAGGTCACATTCTAAGGCAGCGGTTCTCAACCTATGGGTTGTGACCACTTTGGGGGTCGAATGACCCTTTCACAGCGGTCGCCTAAGACATAACAGTAGCAAAATTACAGTTATGAAGTAGCAACGAAAATAATTTTATGGTTGAGGGTCACCACAACATGAGGAACTGTATTAAAGGGTCGCGGCAGGAGGAAGGTTGAGAACTGCTGCTCTAAGGTATTGGGAGTTAGGACTTCAGTTTATCTTTTTTCAGGATGCAGTTCAACCCATTATAGTCATCAAGTTTACAAAATTAACACTGAACAAGTTTATGAGCAAGTTTATTAGCTTTGTTTTTTCTTTTTAGGGTTGTCTCTCAGAACTTTTCTGTAGTTAATTGTACACATGAAACCTTAAAATTGGAAGTGAAAAACACCAATCCTGATCATTTTACCCTGGATGCTTACATATCACCAGTAAGTATATTCAGAAAGTCAAATATCCTATCAATATCAGAGCATTTTCCAATTGTAATTTGGGGACAATGGAATATTAGCATTTCAATTATTAATAAGGTTTCAAATATCTATAATTTTAAAATGGAATTTATATAAATATAATATATATATATCCCCAATTTTAATTTATCAACAAAACCCAATATAATGTTCATATAAACTTTTGAAACTATGTGTGCCAGATTCATGTTCACTATCACTGAATTATAAATAAACTGTGCTTTATTTCTGACCATTTAGTAATCAGTTTTTGCAGTAGGTTCCCAGGAATACGATTATGACTCAGCAGCTATGCTGTGCGCCCAGGGTCTCAAGAGGCCAGTTCTTTTGCAGCCCTTCCTGAGTTTCTGCCCACTACCCCTCCCCCACTTCCAGACAGTCCTGGCAGCTCTGCCCCTCTCTCCTTCTTTCTCTGTGGGGTATTCTCATTCCTTGGCCCCTGGCAGAGACTAGAGCCTACCAATGGGCCTAAATCATTTTTCTCTTCCCCCACTAACAAAATGAGATATGAAGGTTCAGCATCAGTATCTGTTTCCAAAGACTATATCAAATATATCAGTGAATGTCAAAACCACGCTTTCAAGTAAATTTCAAAATAATCATTGCAATAGATTATTCTCTTCAGAGGACCTCACAGTGAATCATGAAGACCTACTACTAAGTAGATATAGTTTTTTTAAATAAAGGCTTTTATTATTTGCCTTTTAATGATTGTTTAAAAATCTACAATGTAGTTTCTTTATTTGTATCTTTTTTTTTTTTTTAAAAACAAGTTTTTATTTTTATTTTTTATTTTTTTGAAATTTTTTTTATTTATTTATTTTTTTTGTTACAGATATTTTACCTTTTTACCCCATTGGCACCCCCCACCCCACCCCACCCTCCACCCTGTCCCCGACCTGTCTTTTGTCAATCACTGGTTGCCAACTAACAATATCATGATACAAAATTAGTTATTAGCTGCCATAATATGTCAAATTAGATATCACTATTTTATATATATATATATATATATATATATATATATATATAGTAATCTTTAAATAGTTATGTTAAAATATACACATAAACTTATATTATTTAACATTGTATTTTCCATAAATTAAAATGGAATGTGATATTCAGGATAAAGGATATAAATAACTGAAATTTCTCATTAGAAAATGTCGTTTTGTGGTTTTTTTTTTTTTTTTGGTTTGTTTTTTGTTTGCTTTTTTAAAGTCCTCACCCAAGGGTATGTTTATTGATTTGAGAGAGATAGAGAGAGAAATATTGATATGAGAGAGAAACATAGATTGGTTGCCTCCTGTATACACCACAACTGGGGATGGAACCCGCAACCTAGGTATGTACTTAGAATCAACCCTGCAACTTTTGGTGTGTGGGACAATGCTCCAACCAACTGAGCCACCCAGCTGGGGCAAAAGTGGTGTTGTCATATCCTTTATATCATTACTTTTACAGAAGAATATAAACTGTGGTGCAAGGGAAAACAAATACAATATTTTACAGATACCAACTTATTACATGATGAAGAATATGGACTCTGCTTTAATATTTCCAACTGTTTTTCTAGTCCATTTTTATACATTTATCAAATATTAAGTATGAAATAAGCAATTGACTCAATATTATGAAATGACTCAAAAATAAATGTATAGGTTTACTAAAAATAGTATTCTATATTGTATAACAAATTAGGAGGAACACAATATTAATGATACTAAATGAAAAGAATATATGTATATATAACTTACAGTTTTGTTGCATAGAACTCATGTCTATATAAGTAAGGATTTTCAAATATTGATTATTACTCATAAATGCTTCAATAAATAAGCATAGATTGGTTATCAAGGCAAATAATGATATAAAAATCTTGCTTCCCTCCAATGATATATTATGAAAATTTTCAAAAAGATACAGAAGTTGAAAGAATAATACAATGTACAAACTTATATCTTCTACTTTGGTTCTTATATGAATAGTTTGCCACATTTCTTTCTTTTCTCTTCTACATTTTTTTCCTTTTACTTTCATTTAAGATTTTTTTCATTTTAATTTTTAAATTATAGTTTACTTTCAATAGTATTTTGTATTGGTTTCTCTTCTACATTTTTTTCCTTTTACTTTCATTTAAGATTTTTTTCATTTTAATTTTTAAATTATAGTTTACTTTCAATAGTATTTTGTATTGGTTTCATATGTATAACATAGTGGTTAGATAATCATATGCTTTACAAAGTGCCCCCCCCCCATTTCCAGTAACCACCTGGCACCATACATAGTTATCGCAATATTATTGATTATATTCCCTATGCTGTGCTTTATTTACATCTTTTTATTTTTATTTTTGGTAACTACCAATTTGTACTTCTTAATCACTTCACTGTTCAATTTGAAGGTAAGTTGTATTATGCTATTTCAACACTAAATACTTCAGTTTATATCTCTTAATTGTATATTAATCTCAGCATCTAGTATCCTGTTCAAATTTCAGTTTACTGACCTGTCACAAGACACTTTCCCTCTTGAACTAGGATCCAGTGTAAGCTTACACCTTGGAATTTGTTATTATCATGACACTTGCTTTTAATGAAATGTTTTTAAGTTTCTCAAAGTTCCTATATTTAACATATTATTTATGCATATACCTCATTACACTAAACCAGGAGGTTTACCGCAGTTAAATTCCAACCAATGGTGTTTTTTTTTTTCCCCTTTAAGAGCATTGGAAATGCAATTTTCAGTTAATTTTAGGTGAAAATAAAGGAATTTTATCGAATTACTGTTTGGTTGTATAAATTATTTCAATCTCCAACATATGTCTCTGACATATATTTATAGAAGGGGAATTTGAAGATAGAAAGGCTAAAATACTTAAGCCACATGGTGAGCACATGGTAGTACTAGAATTAAAATCAATGAAGTAGTATATGTTTTTTTTTCAGTGAAATAGATTATTTACTTTATATAAATGTATTTTCTTTCTGTATACAGAAACTGTTTTTCATATTTGCTAAATTTAAAGAATATATGAAATGCAACTTTTCTTTTTTGCTAAGGTTGATACTAAAATTAATTTACATTCCTTAAATGTGTATTAACTAATAACCTCAAAATATTTGAAGTATCAGAGAACCAGTCTGAGCTAAAAATATTTGCTGTAGATAAACCACACGTACATAATAAGGATATAATGCTATTCTAAATATAAAGTTAAGTCTGCACTTGTATTTCATTGTCTTCAGAGTTTATTGAGAACAAAATGCTGTATTTCACATGGATTAAATGACACTGCTAACCTGCAATTTTACTTTTTCAGAAGTTATCTGGCAAAATAAATTAGTGAAAAAAATTGATTTATTTTCAGGTATTTACCACTATTCTAGTATTCTATAAGTGCTGATATTAAATATTATATTATTCACAGTGGAGCATTTTGATTATATGAGATATTCAAGTCCTCAATATATTGTGATGAAGTTGCTGACTCAGCATCTCTGAAAAGGAACACATTAATACTGTTCATATTCAAGTTATTCCAGTAGGTCACACCTTGAGTGTGTGTGTATATAATGGGACAAAGAGGAAGACTTCATAGTACGCTAAAGAAGCATGACTTACATCTATGCTTAGAATCAGTTTATGTCTTTTAACACCACCAAGGCTATAAGTCACATTCTCAGTGTTTGCCTTGTATCTTAGAATGGACAATAAACTATGGATTCTTAAATAAAATTCATATTTCTTTTATAGGAGCCTCTAACTCAGATTAAAAAAATTAATTTTGTTTTTCTTAAATAGAGTGCCTAATTCCATGTGGTCATTGTCTGGGGAAAGACCATGGCATGAGCACTACTATACACTGTTTACCACCAGCTGTTTTACCAATATTTGTCAAGCAGACATACTGAGATTGGATAAAGTATACAAGGCAACACATTAATCATGCAAACATCAACCCAGCATATATCTAGTGTACAAAGATGCTTACTCAAACAAAAGTGTTGATTGTTTTGTTTCTTTTTCTTCTTTCTAAATTTACACAGCTGACTGTACCTCCTTACTCGATGGAAAAGTTACATGTTCAATTTCGTCCTTCTGCTCTTGGAAGAGTTGGTCACCAAGCTTCTATTATCTTCTCCTGTGCTCAGGTATGATAGAATATTCTTAGAGCAAGTCAAGGTAATTAAATTTTAAAGTCAACAAATGAGTAAATTGTACTCATCCAGTTGACATCTTTTGCAAGCAGGACAAGCTTATTGTAAACTAGTAATTATATGAACTTCTGGAAAGATAGTATACATCATGCATGTGCAGGAATCTAAAAAAAGGCATTTTTAAATCTTCAGATTGCTTGAATGAAGGAGAATATACACCCAGATTTTAAAGCATATGTATTTTAATGTAAATGCCAAATTGCTGGCATTTATGTTAATTTTCTTACTTGGGTTTCACTACTCAAATTTTCATGAACTTAAATATAAATTGTAGAGCCCTGGCCAGTTTGGCTCAGCAGTTAGAGCGTCAGCCTGCGGTCCCGAGAGACCCAGGTTCGGTTCCTGCTAAGGGCATGTACCTCGGTTGCAGTTTGTCCCTGGCCCTGGTTGGGTTGTGTGGGTGGCAGCGACTCGATGTGTCCCTTTCGCGTCGATGTTTCTCTCTCTCTTCCTCTCTTTCCCTTCCACTCTATCTAAACAAAAGAATAGAAAAATGTCCTCGGGTGAGGATAAAAAAAATATCTAAACTGTAGAAAATGTGATCTTGCAAATATCAGGTTAATTTTTTTTACTCTATTTCATCTGTACAGCATTCTTGAATGATAACAATTTTAAAAAACTACAGTGGTTAATCATTTTTAATCATCTCTAAGCTTGCTGCATGCCATTCTTAGAATTATCTGAGTTCATTCTCACCACAGGCCTGAGGTGAAAGATCAGGAAACTGAGACACAGAAATGAAGATCAGGCAGCTAATAAAAGGTTGAATGCATACTTGAACCCAGGACGTCTGGCTTTAACCCATTTTCATGACTATTTTTATAGCTACCTACAGATTGCCAATTGATTAAAACTCTTATTGCCAGTGAAAATTTTACATAACTTTTAACATTTATTATTATTTTATACTTCTTCAAGTGTTGATGAGGAGGGAGGTAAATGGAGATCAGAACTTTAAATCCTAAGGGGCACCAAGGAGCCTGGCATCTGAGAGGCAATGGAATCACATATAATACAGGGGCCCCAATGTCAGTGCAAGACTTGTGGGTGACTGAAGTGTCTTCTTTCCTAAAACAATGTGCAATTTACCTTTAGAAAAAAAAAAATGAGGCTATTAAATTTCTGACATGATTACTGACTTATACCTGACCTGACGCAATACTATGGAAGTATGCGTGCCTCAAAAATATTAAAGAAAATAAATAATTCCTTTTCATATGGGAGGGGAAGTACAGTGGAGATTATGTTATTTTACAGAAACAGTTTTAACAAGGCACACTTTTATTTTATTTATTTATTTATTTATTTATTTATTTATTTATTTATCTTTTAATTAATGTATTTATTTCTGTTACAGATGTTTCTCCTTTTCCCCCCACTGATTCCTCTCCCGCTCCCTCCCCACCCTGTCCCCAGCTTTGTTGTCCATGTCCGTTGTTCATGCATACACGCATATAAGTTCTGTGGTTTATCTCTCCCCCACGATCCCCTCTTCTGGGGATTGTCAGTCTGTACCCCACTTCCATGTCTCTGGAACTACCCCATTCCTCAGACTGTTATGTTCATTATATTCCACAAATTAGTGAGATGATATGATACTTGTCTTTCTCTGTTTGGCTTGTTTCCCTTAGGATAATACTTTCCAGGTCCCTCCATGTTGTCTCAAACGATAAGAGATCTTTCTTTCTTACAGCTGCATAGCACTCCATTGTGTATATGTACCACTGCTTTTTTATCCATTCGTCTACTGATGGACATTTGGGCTGTTTCCAGATCTTAGCTATTGTAAATAGTGCTGCTATGAACATGGGGGTACATATATTCTTTCTGATTGGTGTTTCAGGCTTCTTAGGGTATATTCCTAGAAGTGGGATCACTGGGTCAAATGGCAGTTCAATTTTTAATTTTTTGAGGTGACACCATATTGTTTTCCATAGTGGCTGCACCAGTCTGCATTCCCACCATCAGTGTACTAAAGTACCAGGCACACTTTTAAATCATTGCTTTATAGCAGGGTTAGCCCCTTTACCTTAATTATTGGGGACAATTTAGTTGGTTGCATTTCTGATGGAAATTATATCTACTCAAGAATAATCTGGCACATTAGCAGAGCAATTACCAGTTCTCCATCTTAATAGCTTTAGAATATCCTATCCTTGATATTGAACTTGAAATTCTTAATCAAACACAAAGAATACAAAGAACACAAACAAGTAATCAACTTGAATCTTTTATAAATCAGTTTTACATTGGTGCTTGATTTCAGTCACTCTAAGCATCTCCTTCCAAGCTGTAGCAAATCTCCAAGGATTCATCTTTGGTAAAACTTCAATCCATCATTCATTCACCCTTTTAGCTACAGGGTTCAGACCCAGAGCCCTTCAGCCTTTTCAATGTATTACCCTAACCTTTCTGATTGTTTTGTCTTTTTTGTCTTCCCACTTATTTTTTCATCTCTGAATCATTCAAGTCTTCCCCGCTAATTTATCCAGTCAACATCCTTTGCAAGCAAAACCTGATCATCTATAAATATTAACTGAATTGACTTTGGAAAATACAGTATACATTACATATATATAGGCATCTGAGAAAGATAGTTTTTAAAATAAAATGTTATGGTTTACTTTTCTAAGTCTAAGAGTTTGCAGTTACTTTAACTTTCAGGGAAAAACTCATAGATTTCTGTCCCTCTCTTGATTTCACTGATAAATATATTTGAACTGACATGTACAACTGAGTGGCTGATTAACCTAAAATCTAGTAATGGGAATGCTTATAGGATAATTTTTAACTATTTCTTATTGTTACTCTTTGCTGAACTTAAGGAAATGGACATAGTTTTTTATTTATCTCATGGGTTTCTGATTTAAATCCATGTACAGAGCTCTGCGTTGTAAAGATCCAATTTTAGGCTAAAGTTGTTTGTACAGATTTTGAATACTGAGTTTAATTTAGCTAGGATATCACAACTACATGTATCATGAACTCATATTACGCCAGATTCTGTAAATGAGATTGCGTCATTGCATATCAGAATAAGAGGAATAGCAGTTAAGCAGCAAATGTGGTAATCGGGCCTTCTGAGATTTTTTTCTGGGTTGCCAGTTGTTTCATTTTTATTTTCCAATAGTTGCCAATATTTATTTTGTTTGTACTTTATTGTGTGACTTGCTACATCTAAAGGTCAGACTAGCAAAAATGAAGGAAAGAAGACAAAAGTCAGAATGGTTTTATTACCCAGCATGAGTCTGTGATCCTGCAGCCTGGGTCTATGGAAAACTTTGTTGATTCTTAGCCAGCTCTAATGCCCTTGAGCTATGCTCAGTGTGCAAAGCCAATTCTATATCTTTTACTTCCATTTATTCTACCTTTCAGAAACATTGGAATGGGATCTTGAAAGGTTTTTTGTTTTGTTTTGTTTTTGTTTTTACTGTATCTCCTTTCAAAAAAGTTTGAGATAAAGATGGGCTAAAAAAAAAAGTTACTTAATTTTAATGCATATTTTTGTTGGGATACTTTTTAGTTTCCCTCTCTGAACCAAAGAAGATAATTTAAGCAATGCCAGGGCAAGTGTATACTAGTGTTCCATAATGGTGGGATATATACAGTTTAACTTAGAAGCTCTAGTATTCCAGGCCGTTTAGCAAAAACATGAAAAGATAACCTTCTTGTTTTTGTGCTTTGGCTCATTTCCAATGGCTCAAAGTAACCTAATTTCTGTTACTCAGGATTTATTTAATTAAGTAGCCAAAAAGTAAATAATTTACATAAAACAGTCCTTAATTTAATTGAACCTAGTCAACCAATTACAAGTAATCAAATTAGGACATTATAAGTGAATTAACATTACGCAAGTAGAATCTCTAACTAAAAGTAATACAGTCATTTAAAGATAATATGCAGATAAAAATTGTCCTTATTTCTCCCTACTCAGAGACAGCATTATATGCATTTCCTGTCACGATTTATCTCACTTTGAAGCAATCTTAAAACACTTTTCCCTCTTTTTACTGGAATTTAGGCTTAAAAATATCTATGTAGTTTAAGAGATTATAAACTAGGCTGTTGCCATTTATTGTTTTTTTTTTTTTGTTTTTTTTTTTATTTAATGACCTCTTCGTTCCTTTACAACATTAGTAAAGTATTCAGTGCAGAACTGAGTCACAGTCTGTTGTGCTTTTGGGGGACTTTTATTCTAAATGAATACAAAGGGAACACTTCAAACAGTTTTGCAGGCTTATGAAACATAGATAAATACAATGGCCACATTCAATCTCCTTCACATAGTTTTTGAGCCATGCTTCTATATCCTGTGATAACCAAACATACAGTGTCCTAGATGGTGAGGATAAATAATAAGGCATACAGCTGTATACACTGCTTTTTACTGGGACATCAGTCTATGCCTCACCTTCTTTGCCTTCATGTGATGGTGATAACCATACGGATTTCACTTGAAATTTACCGTAGTTTTTTGGAAACTTCATGCAGCTTTTAGTACCCAGTTTGTTAGACAAGTTGACTTAAAAAAAAAAAAGAAAAAAACCTTAAGCAGAAATATAAGGTTTTTATTAAGGTATCTCTTTAATGCTTCCATAAATAACTTTATATGCATTGAAATATGTTAAATATTGGTTTTATGCCCTCCTTTTTATCAGTGTAAAAACACATTGATGATTTTTCAATAAAATCAAATGGAATTTTGAAAAGGAAGGAAAGGTAAAACAGGGCATGTTAAATATTAACAACCAAACTTTTTTTTATCTGCCACAGTTTTCTCCATGCATTACATTTATTAAGTGTCAAGAATAAAATGCATGCACTTATGACATATATGTTATGAATGTTTATCTTTGAACAGTTTGAAGAATGGCGATTCCTCCTTTCTGGAATAGGACTATTTCCACAGCCTCTAGAATTGGAAAGAACGACCACCTTCCTTCGGCAGCTATCAACTTTGGCTATAACTTTTGAAAATCCCAGCTACGAAAATGTTTTCATCGACATCCTACTAACAAGTAAGTTGTTTTCTTATATTTTACCTATGCTATTTTGTAATTACTAATCAAATGTATTTTATCATAGAATCAATGCTTTATAGAGATAGTGGACATGTTAGAGATCAATTAGCTCAATGGCATGTTATAAAAGAGAAAACGTAAGATGTAAAAGATGAGGTATCTTGGCTGAAATCACAGGATATAAATGGTGGAGCCAAAATTAAAAATTTATATAACAAGTCAAGCTCTTCTAATTTTATTTATAAAGCCAAAACTGTATATAGTGGATTAGTAAAATTCTTATCATTATTATTCAAGTATGCCAATGCTTATTCCTTAAAGGTTTAGAGAAAATCTAGTGTTCTGATATTGTTTCCTTTCCACATTTTCTTTACAAATAGCGTATTTGGATTAAATTTTGGTTATAATCAATCTCGTTCTTTTTTTTCCTGTAATTCTGAAGATGCATATTTTTAAATTAGATTGTTCGGAGATTTGATCACTTTTTACTAAACGATCAAATGATGTGGTGCTAGTATAAAAATCAACTCATGAGTTTTGTCAAATACATTTATTTATTTATTTATTTATTTATTTATTTATTTATTTATTTATTTATTTTTGTTACAGATGTTTCTCCTTTTCTCCCCATTGATTCCCCCCTCTACCTCCCTACCCGCCCTGTCCCCAGCTTTGTTGTCCATGTCCATTGTTCATGCATACATGCATATAAGTTCTGTGGTTTATCTCTCCCCCACGATCCCCTCTTCTGGATTGTCAGTCTGTACTCCACTTCCATGTCTTTGGGACTACCCCATTCCTCAGACTGTTATGTTCATTATAATCCACGAATAAGTGAGATCATATGAAACGTGTCTTTCTCAGTTTGGCTTGTTTCACTTAGGATGATACTTTTCAAGTCCCTCCATGTCGTCTCAAAGGATAAGAGATCTTTCTTTCTTACAGCTGCATAGTACTCCATTGTGTATACGTACCACTGCTTTTTCATCCATTCGTCTACTGATGGACATTTGGGCTGTTCCCAGATCTTACCTATTGTAAAGAGTGCTGATATGAACATGGGGGTACATATATTGTTTCTGATTGGTGTTTCAGGCTTCTTAGAGTATATTCCTAGAACTGGGATCACTGGGTCAAATGGCAGTTCAATTTTTAATTTTTTTGAGGTAACATCATATGGTTTTCCATAGTGGCTGCACCAGTCTGTATTCCCACCAGCAGTGTACTAGAGTCCCCTTTTCTCCACACTCTCGACAACACTTGTTGTTTGATGATTTGTTGATGGTGGCCATTCTGACAGGTGTGAGGTGATACCTCACTGTCGTTTTAATTTGCATCTCTCTGATGATTAGTGATGTTGAGCATTTCTTTATATGTATCTTAGACATTTGTATGTCCTATTTAGACCGGAGTTTATTTAGTTACTCTGCCCATTTTTAAATTGGGTTCTTTGTCTTCCTTTTGTTGAGTTATATGAGCACTCTATATATATTGGAAATTAACCCCTTATCTGATATATCATTGGCAATTATGCTCTCCCATACAGTGGGTTGCCTTTCCATTTTGATGACTGTATCTTTTGCTGTGCAGAAGCTTTGAGTTTGATGTAGTCCCATGTGTTCATTTTCTCCTTTGTTTCTGTTGCCTTAGGTGATGGATCAGTGAGAGTTCTGCTGTGTATGATGTCTGAAATTTTGTTGCTTACATTTCTTCTAGGATTTTTATGGATTCATGAGTCACATTTAAGTCTTTTATCCATTTTGAATTTATTCTTGTGTAGGGTGTAAGTTGATGGTCTAGTTTCATGTTTTTGAATGTAGCTGTCCAATTTTCCCAACACCATTTATTAAAGAGGCTGTCTTTACTCCAAGGTATGCTCTTGCCACCTTTGTCAAATATTAATTGAGAATATTGCCTTGCGTCCATTTCTGGGTTCTCTGCTTCGTTCCATTAGTCTATATGCCTGTACTTGTGCCAGTACCAGGCTGTTTTGATTATAGTCTCTTTGTAATATAACGTGAAAACTGGTAATGTGATCCCTCCAACTTTGTTCTTTCTTTTCAAGATTGCTGTGGCTATTCAGGGTCTTTTTTGGTTCAATATGAACTTTTGAAGTATTTTTTCTAGTTCTGTGAAGTATGTCGTTGATATTTTGGTGGGGATTGCATTGAATCTATAGATTGCTTTGGGTAGTATGGACATTTTAATAATGTTAATTCTTCCAATCCATAAACAAGGAATGTGTTTCCACTTTCTCTATTTCTTTTTTCAATGACCTATAGTTTTTTTGCAAATAGGTAGGTCCTTTATTTCTTTGCTTAAGTTTATTCCTAGGTATCTTAATTTTTTTGCTGTGATGGTAAATGTGATTGTTTTTTAGTTTCTCTTTCTGTGAGTTCATCATTGGTGTATAAGAATGCGCTCGATTTATTGATGTTAATTTTGTATCCTGCTACTTTGCCAAATTCATTTATTAAGTCTAGAAAATTTTAGATGGTGTTTTCTACATATAGTATCATGTCATTTGCGAATAATGACAGTTTCCCTTCCTCCTTTCCAATTTGGATTCCTTTTATTTTTTTCTTCCTGTCTGATTGCTGTGGCTAAGACTTCCAGTATGATGTTAAATAAGAGTGGCAAAAGTGGGCATATTTGTCTTCTTCCTGTTCTTAAGGGAAATGCTTGTAATTTTTGCTAATTGAGTATGATGTTGGCTCTAGGTCCTTCATATGTGGCTGTTCTTATGTTGAGATAAGATCCCTCTATTCCCAGATTGCTGAACGTCTTTATCAGAAATGGGAGGTGGATTTTGTTGAATGCTTTTTCAGCATCTATTGATATGATCATATGATATTTATCTTTCATTTTGTTTATGTGGTATATCACATTTATTGATTTGCGAATATTGTACCAGCCTTGCATCCCTGGGATGAATCCCAATTGGTCATGATGAATAATTTTTTAGTATTGCTGGATTCTATTTGCTAATATTTTGTTCAGAATTTTGGCATCTATGTTCATCAGGGATATTGGTCTGTAGTTTTCTTTCTTTGTAGTGTCTTTTTCTGGTTTTGGAATGAGAATTATGGTGGCCTCATAAAAAGACTTTGGAAGTCTTCCTTCTTCAATTTTTTGAAATAGTTTGAGGAGAATGGGTATTAGTTCTTCTTTGAATGTTTGGTAAAATTCCCCGGTGAAGCCATCCGGGCCTGGGCTTTTGTTTGCTGGGAGAGTCTTGATTATATCTTCAATTTTTACTGGTGATATTGGTCTGTTAAAGTTTTCTATCTCTTCCCAGTTCAGTTTTGGGAGACTATGTGTTTCTAAAAATTTATCCATTTTGCTTAGATTGTCAAATTTGTTGCCGTATAATTGTTCATATTATGTGTTCACAATCCTTTGCATTTCTGTGGTGTCAGTTATTATTTCTACTCTTTCTTTTGTGATTTTGTATATTTGGTTTCTCTCTCTTTGTTTGTTGGTGAGTTTAGCTAAGGGTCCATTAATCTTGTTTATCTTTTCAAAAATACAACTCTTTGTTTCATAGATGCTTTGAATTGTTTTTTTGGCCTCCATTTCATTTATTTCTGCTCTGATCTTTACTATTTCCTTCCTTCTACTTGCGCTGGGGTTTTCTTTTTGTTGGTTTTCTAGTTCTTTAAGTTGTGAGGTTAGATAGTTTATTAGAAATATTTCTTGCCTCTTGAGATAGTCCTGTAGTGCTATGAACTTCCCTCTCAGAACTGCTTTCGCTGCATCCCACAGATTTTGTGTTGTTGTATGTTCATTTTCATTGGTTTCCAGGAATTTTTTAATTTCTTCCTTGATCTTCATGGTAACCCATTCCTTGTTCAATAACATCCTATTTAGCCTCCATGTTTTCAAATGTCTTTGCATGTTCTTGTTGCAGTTGATTTCTAGTTTCATGCCATTCTGATCTGAGAAGATGCTGGATATGATTTCAATCTTCTTGAACTTTAGAGACTTAGTTTGTGCCCTAAGATGTGGTCTATCTTTGAGAATGTCCCATGTGCACTTGAGAAGAATGTGAATTCTGCAGTTTTGGGGTGTAATTCTCTGAAGATATCTATTAAATCCATTTGATCTAGCTCTTCATTTAGAGTCTGTGTTTCCTTATTAATTTTTTGTCTAGAAGATCTCTCCAGTGATGTCAGCGAGGTATTGAAGAGCCCTGCTATGATTGTATTGTTATTGATTTCTCCTTTGAAGTCCTCCAGAAGATTTTTAATAAATGTTGGTGCTCCTATATTGGGTGCATATATGTTTACCAAGGTTATATCTTCCTGGTGGATAGATATTTTCAATATTATGTAGTGGCCTTCTTTATCTCTAATTATGGCCTTCATTTTTTTTTTTTTTATCCTCACCCGAGGACATTTTTCCATTTTTTGTTCAGATAGAGCGGTAGGGAGGGAGAGGAAGAGAGAGAGAGAGAGAGAAACATCGACGTGAAGGGACACATCGAGTGGCTGCCACCCGCATGACCAACCAGGGCCGGGGAAAAACTGCAACCGAGGTACGTGCCCTTAGCGGGAACCGAACCCGGGTCTCTCTGTACCGCAGGCCGACACTCCAACCGCTGAGCCAAACCGGCCAGGGCTCATTTTGAAATCTACTTTGTCAGATATGAGTATTGCTATCCCAGCTTTTTTTTCCATTTCCACTTGCTTGAAAGATTTTTTTTTATCTCATTACTTTCAACCTATGTGAGTCTTTTGTTGTGAGGTGGGTCTCCTGTAAACAACATATATGTGAGTCATGCTTTCTTATCCAGTCAGTTACTCTGTGTCTTTTTATCGGAGCATTCAAACCATTTACATTTAAGGTGATAATTGATATGTCCTTATTTATTGCCATTTTTGTTTAGTGTGGTTCTATTTTTCTTCCTATTTCTTCTACTAATTACAGCAGTCCTTTTAGCATATCTTGCAGTGCTGATTTGGTGTTAATGTATTTCCTTATCCTTTTTTATTGTC